TGATTGTGCAGTAGTTCATAAATTATTTGTTATTGTAATAATTTTTTTTTTTAAATAAATTATTTGTTATTGTAATAATTTTTGTTTTTTTAAATCATATATAAAAAACTATTAAGTTAACCAAATAAGTTATGTTTTTTATATAAGATTTTACATATAATTATGCTTTAAATTTTAGTTTTATAAAAATTAAAATAACTTGATTTTGATTTATGAAAACTCATTCTGTTATAGTTTTAACTAAACATACATAAATATTAAATCAACTTCAACTAACAATATTTTTATAAAATATTTTATAGATTTAAATTTGGCTTTATGGGTGGAGCTTGAGCCTGACTTATAAAATTAAAATAATATTATTTTAAAAAGATAAATAGATTTAGTTGCTTTATAAATTATTTGTTATTGTAATAATTTTTGTTTTTTTAAATCATATATAAAAAACTATTAAGTTAACCAAATAAGTTATGTTTTTTATATAAGATTTTACATATAATTATGCTTTAAATTTTAGTTTTATAAAAATTAAAATAACTTGATTTTGATTTATGAAAACTCATTCTGTAACATTTGCACCACCTCTTATGTTTATAAATCCTCATGTTATTCAACTCATTGGGCTACTATGAACATATAAACCAAGCCCAACAGACCACTTGGTTAGGTTTTTCTGATCTTTAATCATTTTTAGAGTCTATTTGCAATATTCTATCTAAAACAATTATGTGAAGTGAAGGACATTCTGTAAACTATGCCTACATGAAACTTCAATGTAAATGTGATATTTTCCAGCTGAGCCAAGATTGAACAATGAGATAGTTGGCTTAGATTGTTTATAGGCCTAGTTGGAGCAAACACGGATATAAGTTCCTTGACATTGTTAGGCTCCAAACAGGTGTGGTAGGGAAGGAGGATTTGCAAGCCATTTTGTAATTCTCTGTAAGACTGGTTCACTACATTTCCTTCACTTTTGTTTCTTTCTTGATATGGCTGCTATGAATGGTGCGATACTGGATAAACGAGTATACGAAATGCATTATATTGATACCAAATGCCAATAGAATCTCTAACGGATCATTATACTGTGAACTGCAATCTGGCATGCTGTCAATAACCAAATCAAAACTTTTGTGGCAGAAAATTTCCGTCTGATCTGGTTTTAAAGTGTCTTCACTAGATTTGTGATCCAATACAAGCCAATCCATAGACAAGGTTTCCTCAGAGTAAGAGTTTCCATCAGATGATATTAATTCAACACTGATTGTTTTTCCTTTCTTTTATGTGAACAAAAATTACAAGGAAGCAAGGGAAGTGCTTCAAATATGAACATACTTTCCAGTTTCATTTATTCCCAACTAAAGTAAACTTCAGAAAGTTTCAGATAGAGGATACCCTGGGGAAGCCAAGTGATCTTTCTATTAAACTAATGATTAGCAAGGGAGCTTTTTGAAGAAAAAAAATAACAGTCCTGAATTTTATGTCTTGCCAAATAAACCAAATATCGGAAAACACTGCTTGCTGCCACAGATTGCTCTCTCCTGCTCATAAACTAGGTAGTATTTAGGAGAAGCTTTTCGGTCTTTTAAAGCACAAACATGTAGGTTATGCAAAACTATGTTTACTCTTGGAGAAGACAGGAATATACTACACGCAGGATGGATCCAAAATGACCACTATGAGCAGTGCACTGATTTATTGTTATTTTCCTTCCTTGGTATCTTTTCCTTGTTAAATTGTTTAAGGTTCTTATACGATAAACTCAATGCTGAAAGCAATCAAGATTAATGCAGAGGCACTGCTCTGTTTCATCATCAAATCAAAATGCCATGGAAAATTCAAACTCAGTGTTCGAGGTAAGTTTTCATCCTGGGACCTTTGTGAAGTCTGAGAGGTGCGTGTAAAAATTTAAACTAGTTTAATTTCCTTTTGCTTGCAAGTTTTTTTTTTGGACAATTCTCTTTTAGGGGGATGGTTTAGAGAGATAATTCTCAGGGAAATTCCATAGTTTTTCTTAATGAACGGTGTGATAAAACTCTGGAGACCATTGATCCTTAGACACTGATGCTAAAATCTTATTGCTCAAAAAGTCAGGTAGTGTCATTTGTATGGATTGTTTGTAGAAATGCAGTCCCTCCTGATTTGCTAGGAAGTCCTGCTGACTGGAGAATCCCAAGGAGAAATATTGCCAAGTTTATTGGGCAAAGAAAGTTCAAAAAATTCTCACTAAAGCAATGTACGCATAAATTCAAGGCTTCTGGGTTTCTATTTCTGTCTGATAAACACTATTCATGCTGCTTGGATAC